ATTAATGTAGACTAATTAAATATTTTTTTCAGAAAACGAAAATTCCCGATATTTTCTGAACACACCTCGTATACCATTTCATAAAGCGCCGGTGGGTAAACCTTACGAATCCCCTTAAAAATCCTTTTACAAACAGAGACATTCTATTTGATAAGAAGCAAAATTGTATGTATGGAGTAAAATATTAAATCGGAGTTGTAATACAGTTGTAATTAAGTCGGAATTGTAATACAGGCAAACTTTTAATATGCATGTCATACTCTAAATTGCTTTATTAGTTCGTATTTGTTTGAATCTGATTATAATTTGGTAACCTTAATATTCCTTATTTAGGGATTTCTATCCAAGTAACAATAAATAACGTAATGGAAATACAGTTTATTTATATAATAACTCTTTTAGAAACCGGCGAAGAGTATTTTACACAAAAAGCTTCTACTACATGTTTGTACTGTTTGCGGTAATATGAAAATACGCGATTTGAAACTTCTAACTGCATTGTAGTCTAGCTTACGAGCGAGTTTAAACACCGTAGTTTGTTACTTTGTGTGCTGGTTTAATTTACAATTTAATCTAAAATCTTGGATGTTTTTGGGTTGCCAAATAGTCTTCCTACCTAACTTATATCCAGATACTAGGTGTTCCTAATGATCACAAAAACTAACACATTAGTTCTTGGATTTACTATTATAAAAATTAGCTGGACGCGGTTTGGTTGATCGACAATTTTTGAAAGTTAAGCTTAACTTTAAAAGTTACGGAGGGAGTGGGGTCGGACAACTTATAATCACATTAGATTTATACAAATATTTATTTAAATTTTCGAATAAAAAATGAATTTGTGACGTTACTAGGGGGTGGTAAGAATTGTGCAATTACTTTATGCTAATGTACAATTTGATATTTACGTAAAACCAGATGCACATATTAAATGTACTTATAATAAAAATATTGTCCATACCTATAAAAAAATTACATATTTTAATAATAATGGCTGATAACAAGAAATTCTTGCCCAAATGGATTCAACGCATCATTTCGCTACTTGTAGGGTTTTGTGATGTTATCTGGCGTTTTTTTTTGGGCCTCTCTTTGTGGCCAATTTTTTACTGTTTGCATCTTGTTATCAATTAAATTAAAGAACTAATAAATTAAAGAAGTGGAATTAATGATACAATCCATTCAAAAAATCGAAAATCCAAATGTGAATCCAAGAGGGGGGTTTTTGGGTCCGAACTCCCCCCTTTGGAATAAAAACAAACAAAATCCAACATTTATTTATATTTTTCTTATTATTAAGTAATTAACCCAAAAAATGGGGACCATCCCCTTCTCAAAATCCTGGATTCGCCTTTGTTCTGAAATATACAAGATATTTCTCAAGTATACTAAGTATATATACTATATATTATGTATATCGGGGCCGTTACTTCAGGACACAATTCCTTACAATATTTTAAAAAAATGTCCTAAAATGCTTCCTAACTTAGGTGTCAAAAACTATTTTTTCATTGTTATTTTTTTTTAATATCACATAAAATGTAAGAAAATTTTTCCACAAAATTTCTGATTTCTGATTCCAAATGGGGATCCGGATTTGAAACTCCTTCCCTGGATCCGCCACTGGTCAGGATTAGGGATGGCAGATTAAAATGATTTTTTCAATATATCGTATCTAACGATAAAATCATAAATCGATATTAATTTGTGGAATTTTTTCTTCTGATTAAAATAGTGAGAACAGAAAAACAATTAAACGTCGTATTTTTTTAAACCCCCTGTATATTTTAATATATTTTGAAAGACCATTGGAATAAAATATTATTATTGAATAAACAATTAATAAGCACTTAAACTTTCTAATTGTTGTCAAAATAAAGTAATAATTTGGTTAAGAAATTGTGTCCTTAAGTAGTTAGGAAACACCTTCTATATGTCAGGAGGCGGATCCAGGATTTTGAGTAGGGGATGGTCAAATTATTTTATCAATAATCGCTAAATAATTATTTATAAATATAATTATTATAATAATATTGTAATAATAATAAAATTAAATGTAGAATTTAATTTTTTTGATTTTAAGGGTTCCGCCACTGGTCCGAATTTACTTTATATCGCTTTTTTTAATAATATAAATACTTATAACTCCACTTGTTTGATTTATTAATTAATTTATTTAATTGATTACAAGTGGCAAATAGTCAAAAAATGGGCCACAAAGAATGCATACTTTAAGAGGCCACAAAACGCGAGCTAATATCACAAAGCCCTTCAAGGGGTTGGATCCATTTGGGCTGGACTGTGTCATCAGCATTGGTGTTATTAAAATATCGATATGTACATTTTTTATATGTACAAGATTTTTATTATAAGCACTTTAAAAGTGTGCATATGGTTTAACTCAAATTTCAGCATAAAGTAGTTGCAAATTTTTTATAACAACAATGTTTGCCAGGGACCTTTTTATCCGAAAATTCAAATAAATATTTGTATAAATCTAGAATACTTCCTCCATAACTTTTAAAATTGAGCTTATTAATTGTATATTTTTAGTTTAGGATAGTTATGTCATAATAATTTCTTGTTTCAAATTAAATTGTCTTTTAAAATATATAAAAATATACAGGGTGTCCCATTTAAAAAAACTTTATTTTTGTGACGACGCGACGCACAGACCGGTATTGTGACCTAAAACGTGGCCAAAAATATTTGGGCACTTTTTCTTTCTCAAAAGAATAGCAAATGACTAAAAAACATATTTTTAAAGGTAAGTAATAGTAGGTACTTTTACTAGAAATAAAAAAAATATGTATTCACAAATTTATTTATAAAAAAATTATTAGCTACTTATATGCAAGTAATGCAATAAAAATATTAAAATTAAACATATATTAAAGTTTTTGTGCCCTTTAAAAAATAAAAAATACATCCATTTACCTGAAAATCTTATAAGATTGCACTAAAGTGTCTGTTTTCAAGGGTACATTTTTCCGTGATGTGAAAACTTGTGCATGTTTTTGATGGTTACAGTTATTCTATAGAATAACTATCTATAGATGTCCTAAAGTTTAATAAAATATAGGTCGGATGCCGTTGCGAGGTGTTGCCGATATTTAAAAACATAAAAAATACATCCATTTACCTGAAAATCTTATAAGATTGCACTAAAGTGTCTGTTTTCAAGGGTACATTTTTCCGTGATGTGAAAACTTGTGCATGTTTTTGATGGTTACAGTTATTCTATAGAATAACTATCTATAGATGTCCTAAAGTTTAATAAAATATAGGTCGGATGCCGTTGCGAGGTGTTGCCGATATTTAAAAACATAAGTGTTTGTTAAAAAAAAACGAGAAAAATTAAGCATTTTTAGGTGGATAGGTACCTATAGTACTCGATATGAATAAATAAAGATTATAACACAAATGAAATGTTGCTTAAAATATTGTACATACCTTAATTGACGACATCCATATTAATTTCTTTCATCAAAATCTCTTTTAACATTGTATTTGTTTTTTTGTGGAGTGTTGCGAACGAAGACGTACGATGTAAGCTTCTAGCTGCTGGTACAGCGGACTGGGACGGCCAATTCAAGTTGCATCTACACCAAAAGATAGCCATGTTATCTGATTTCTTTGAGACAAAATCTTAAATCTGGAAATAAAAATTAACAAAATTGAATTTTGGCCACGTTTAATTGTTTTTCTGTACGATTTTATTTGGAAGAAAAAAATTTACCAACTTGCTAATTTAACCGACTTTGTAGCTCCAATAAGAATGGTAGCAATCGTAAGCAGATATATTTGTAATTAATTATATTATTTTGGTTGGATAAATAAATGTATTAACTTTTTAAATGTAAAATTTTTTAATCACTAATTAACCTATTATATATAAAAAAAACAAATCCTCAAATTAAAAAAAGTTATTTTACAAAAAGTAGGTACCTACTTAAAATAGTCAATTTTACCACTACCCCAAAAGACCTATTTAATTATAATAGGTACTTTTTGTAAAATAACTTTTTTTTAATTTGAGGATTTGTTTTTTATACATAATAGGTTAATTAGTGATTAAAAAATTTTACATTTAAAAAGTTAATACATTTATTTATCCAACCAAAATAATATAATTAATTACAAACACACCTAAAAAAACATAATTATTATTAATATAAATATATATATATATATATAAATTATTATTAATATAAATATTACATCCTTATTTGATACTAACAGAAAAGATTTATTTCTATTAAAATTTTCAATCAACGTTATAACTCGTTATAACTAAACCTTTGTTTTAATAAAGGTTCTCAAAGACATGCTTTCTATAAAAAACGCTTAAATTGCAAAAAAATACAGTAAAATGAAAAATATAAAGGACTTTATTTATTTATTTATTCTCCTACAAACAAAATAAAATATTGTGAATTACTATTAATTGCCCTTGCAGCAAAGTCTGTAAATGTGTATAGGTTGGTGAATGTTGATCTATTGGAGAGAAACCCATATTGTTTTATAGAAAAAATTCTTTACAATTACTTATAATATACTTACACAGAATAACTTCAAAAATTTAAAAATATATCTTTTTTGATCTATCGGAAAAATTTATATCGATATATTCTTAAATATATCAATATATAAATATCGATATATCGTTGCCATCCCTAAGTCAGTATTTACCATGTTTTTCTTTTTTAAATCATAAAATACCTTGTTGATTTAATTTATTAATACATTTATTTAATTGACTTCCAAGTCAAAAACAGTCGAAAAATTGGCCACTTAAAATCCAAACTTCAAGACGTCATAAAAAATGCCAGCTAATATCAACAAACCATGCGAGGGTTTTCTGTTGGTCTACTTTCATTTAGCATTGGACCTATTTGGGCTGAAAGCGATGACCTAAAATTTGTTGCACTGTAATAAAAACTTAAACTTAAATGGCGATTTATTTTTGGATAAACTTTAACGCTTTATTTCTTTTTTAGTATGGCTGTTAACTGCTGTAGTGTGCTCGGGAGGGCAGCAGCAATACTTTAAAATACAACCTCACGATGTCAAGGTTCAGGAAGGTGGAGAAGCTATGTTGGAATGTGTGGTGGGCAACGGAGCTGGTCAAGTCCAATGGACAAAGGATGGATTTGCCCTTGGTAAGTAAAAATACGTTAAACCAAACATATTTTAAAATCTGGCAGTAGAATAGAGGAAAAATTCAATTATATTACAAAATTCTTTAAAAGTGGTATACTCTAAACCACAAATTAGTTTAATGTTTGCAATGCAGATATTCGATATGATAATTAAAATTTGAATGCACTTTTTTTTAGTGTTTAGTATTTAGTATATATATATATATATATATATTTACATCTTAAATTATTACGGCCTCATACAATAGACAAGTTTATCGGCCTCACCCAGATGGAGCGTAACCAGCGAATGTCTGTGTCATGTATATTAAATTTCAAAGTATTCTTAACAGATCCCGCGCACTTAGAAATCCGTATCTTTAATTTTATGGTATACATTTTTAACCATCTTTCATACATAAAAACCTCTTACTAAATAACTAACATTGTGGCTTCAATGTGTGTATATATTTTTTAAATAGCGACATTATAAACTCATGTATATACAATACAGCCTCATACATGGTTGCCAAATCTTATTAGATGGTTAAATGCATTCAAATTAATGAATTGAATTTCCTGCTTTCATCTAACGGCCATTTCAAGCGCGCGAAACGCACGAATTTCAAAACTGTTTTTATGAAACAAATTGTAGATAATTTATTTCATAATATTTTGGCAACAAATTTATCAAAAATATTTTTCTTTTATTAGGCTATACATTAAATAAAAAAACGCAAGAAATATTTTATAAAAGTAAAGATAATTCTAATAATTAAGAGTTGTGGACGGGACAAAAAAAAGATTTATCTTAAGATACAATTGTCCCGTCCACACCTGTCAATTATTTAAATTATCTTTTTACTTTCATAAAATATTCCTTGCGTGTTTTTTATTTAATGTATAGCCTAATAAAACAAAAATATTTTTGACAATAAAAACAGTTTTGTGATTTGTCCCGTCCGTATGCTTGAAATGGCGGCTAACCTCCCGGACAACATTCGTGATATTCATACGAACATCATGTCGTGATTTTTACAAATTTTATTTATACTGATATCATACGGAAGTCGCAGCGTAATATATGAAAATCATACGAACGTCACGTCGTGATTTTCACAAATTTTATTCATACGGACATCATACGGATGTCACTGCGAGAGAAATGAATCATGTGATTTTTTACGCCATCGCTGTTTGCGATTGACCAATGGCCTAAAAAATCATGTCGTGATTTTTTATGCCAACGGTGTTTGGATAAAAAATGGAGAGAAAAATTATGTTGAATCAACAGTTTTTGCGGTTAAATACATTTAATATTTTCTTGGATTTAAATGAACTATATATAGTTAATTTAAATCCAAGAAAATATTGAATGTATTTAACCACAAAAACTCACGCAGTGACATCCGTATGATGTCCGTATGAATAAAATTTGTGAAAATCACGACGTGACGTTCGTATGATTTTCATTTATCACGCGGTGACTTCCTTATGATATCAGTGTGAATAAAATTTGACATGATGTTCGTATGAATATCACGAATGTATGAGCCCTGCGTTCAAAACGTTCACGTTTTGTTAAACATTGGAATATATTTTTTAATTGAACCCGGACAACATTCGTGATATTCAAACAACGTTTTATAAATTACAACGGTGTAATGTGAATAACAAACTAGGTTTTTAATTCGCAGTTCGCAGGGCTCATACGCATGTGCATGCATGCACAAATTTTGCAAATATCACACCGTGAGTTTTACATGATATCACTGTGATAAAGCATGTGTATGCACTCAGGATATCACAGCGTGATAAAAAAAATCACGTTGTGATATCATCATGCCTTCACCAGGAAATCCCGATTGTTGTCCGGGAACTATTAATTTAAATCCAAAAAAATATTGAATGTATTTGACCACAAAAACTGTTGATTCAATATACATATATGGCGAAAAAATAAATATCCAAACACCGAAGGCATAAAAAAACACGACATGATTTTTTATGCCTTTGGTGTTTGGATATTCATTTTTGCGACACATTCGTTCATTGAAAGAAAAAGTATGTTAACAATTGAATCAACAGTTTAACATTCAATATTTTCTTGTATTTAAATTAATTATATATAGTTAATTTAAATCCAAGAAAATATTAAATGTATTTAACCGCAAAAACTGTTGATTCAACATAATTTTTTTCTTAGTGTACGAACTTGGCGCAAATATGATTATCCAAACACCGTTGGCATACAAAATCACGACATGATTTTTTGTGCCATCGGTCAATCGCAAACAGCGATGGCATAAAAAAACACTACATGATTTTCATTTCTCACGCAGTGACATCCGGATGATGTCCGTATGAACAAAATTTGTGAAAATCACGACGTGACGTTCATTTATTACGCGGTGACTTTCGTATGATATCAGTATAAATAAAATTTGTGAAAATAATGACGTGATGTTCGTATAAATGCGCAATCGCTTTTAAAACAACGGAATTGCGTCCTTGTCTGATCATGAGCTAACTTTCCCGTTTTTTATCTTTAACAGTTGGCAAGCCCTATTTGCGGACACTTTATACCATAGTGTAGGTTTCCAATATGACAGCTGTCAAAATGACAGGTGCCAAAATAACGGCTGTCGAAATGACAGGTGCTAAAATGACGAAGCTCAAAATGACAACTGTTAAAATTACAGGTGCCAATATAATGGCTGTAAAAATGTCTGATTCCCGAATGACAGCTGCCAAAATTACAGCTGTCAAAATGATCGGTTCGAAAATGACAGGTTCCGAGTTATACAGCCCAGCAAACACAACCGTAAAGGTTCTATAATGGCCCTTTATAGAAGTAATTTTAAGGTCATTTGAAAGTCAAAGTGCGAAGAAATGGATACAAATATTGGAAAAAATCAGGTTCCTATTGGTTTTTCAGGGTCGCCAATATTAAATAAGGTTAAAACCCTTTTTTTTAAGATCATTCCATTTCAGGTGGTCACTGCATTTGTGCTCTCATGAAAGTTTAAACTACTTTTTCACACTTTGACCTTGAAATAACCCAGAAATGCCTTTGAAATAACCTCTGGGCGACCTTTCCAGGTCAATTAAATGCCAGGCTTTCAAATACTTTCAAACACTTTTACACACTTTTACCTTGAAATAACCTCTGGATGACCTTGTCGGGTAACAAACGACAGTTTTGGATTCTGCGATCCGAAAAGTTTAATATTTTAAATTTTTATTTCTAAGCAATTCTTCTTACTTTGACCTTGAACCTGATGTGATAGAGGTCAATTGACCTCGGATACGAAATCAGCGACCCCAAAAACCCCAGGGTGCTCTACTGAGGTCTATTGATACTTCTTATATTAAATGTTGACCTGTGTAATTCACTTAGGGATCAAATAGATTTAATAAACATTATAAACAGTAGTAATGATAAATCCATGAAAAATCAAACAAAAAGTTAGATATTTTTATTTAACGCTTTTTTTAATTTTTAAAATTTGTTCATGGATTGGCAAGTTTTAAAATTTGTGAATTTTTGAATGGATTGTAAAAATTAAAAAAAGGTTGAATACCTTTTAAACAAGGTATCACAACCCCCTTATTCTATTTAGTCCTGCCACCTTGGCACTTGTTAGGCAGGCAAATGTCAATTTGACGACTAAAAGTAGTATACATAATATTCTTGAACCTGGTTTTTTCCTGACCTCGATATCTTTCTTACTTTGTTATTTATAAATTATTTTTTTCAAATAACAAAACTACAGATAATGTAACTATTATAAAGAAATAGTGTAAGTATCACACATTATATAATAAATAATAATATAATAAAACCAATTTTTTTATAAGAACATTACCCGCGCCTATTACTAATGCAGATCCTTATCGTGGTAAGAATCGTTAGATGAGGCCGATAAAATATAAATCGAGTAGAAAATACAAAGCGATGTTGCCAAATTAGTTGAAGCCATACTATACTAAACTCAACAAATATATACACGTAATGTATACGCAAATCACGACTGCAGCGCCAAAATGTATGAACTAAAATATACAATTTTTGTTATTTAACGACATTAGGACCTCACTAATTTTTTAAGATTACGCCCTTATTTAATAAAAAATAATAGATTTCTATAATTTTTCATGTTCAAAACTTCCATTACTATATCATAGATGTCACTTAAGTTAAACAATTTAACCGCAGACAGTAAAAATTGGCAAAAACATTACGGACTCAATATACTGAGGCCGTAAATCAGCTGAGGCCGTAGTGAATGGCGGCTGCATGTTAGAAGAGGTCGCATTGTTAGTAGAACAAATATATATATATATATATATATATATATATATATATATATATATATATATATATATATATATATATATATATATATATATATATATATATATATATATATATATATATATATATATATATATATATATATACATCCCGCTATACTTATGGCGTCCATACATTGACGTATTACATTGGATATGGCGTCCGATTGACATACGGCTTCCGTATATGGACGCCATATCGACTAACCACACAATTCAGTTTATTTTTTAGTAAAAACATTTCTGGTAAAATTTTATCGGGACGCCACATGATCGGTGTTATGTACGTTTTTGTATATTTTAGTTCTGCATTATTACGCTTGGCTTAGTTGCGCTCTAGTCGACCGTCCGTATATTCATTATTATTCCGTTTTCATGATTTCGCATATTTGGCGTCCGTAAAATTGGCAACCATGGATCATTTAATTTAATTTTATTATTTTAAATACGTTCGATGTTTTGAAGCGTTTTTATGAGATTTTAAGGGCGCAATATCACCATGTATAAAGTACGAGTACGTTTTAATAATTATAATTTTATAAGTAGGTACTATTAATATATATTATATTATTTAAATAGATGGTTTTACTAAAAAAATTTGAAAGATCTTTTTTGTAGAGCATACAATTTTCTACAAAAATATCTACTATGTATTGCTTCATGTA